ATCCAGCTGTACGGTTTTCATCTAGAGTTGAGTTTGAAGTTGACTGAACTGGCCACGTCCGGAGCAGCGCTGTGTTATGTTACAGAGGAGCCCGTAGAATTCCTAACACGGCGGGCCATCCTAGATGCATGAACTCACCCATTTGTTTGGTATCACCGAGGTGGAGCCACAGCTATAACGTGTGTCGAGGCGCCAGGGTGACAGGATCCGCAGAGCACTTATCTGTTAGTTGTCAGGCCACAGCCCTGTTGGCTGATAACAGCAGCTCTTCCTTCTGTGCGTCACTTTTCAATGACAAATCCTTTTTCCCAGCTTGAGCGTCATATATTTTTAGAGTTGGGAGGGACTTTGATAATTATCTTAATAAAAACTCCTGGCATTTTTGCAGATGAGGAAAACAAGACCCAGAGAGGTAAAGCGATTTGGTCCTGGTCATCCCGCTAACCACTGAACTCTAGGGCCCGCTTAGGCTCCTCCTTCAGAACGGAAGGAAGGGAGCCTCCTTCCTTCTCTTAGCTTGTTATTTGCCAGAAGTTAAAGAGTCTTCCTTCAGTTTCTAAAGCCTTTTGGAAATAATCTATCTCCTTTGAAAGAACTGAAGGCATGTTTTACCCAGAAAACTTATTTTTTTCTCCCAAGCAGGTTTTTGTTCTAACCCAGAGTGACTCCCCTCCAGTCTGAGACAGCCTCCATGGCACAGCGTGACAGCTCTCTCATGGCCAGTTCTACACGCAGCTGGACGTCTGTATAGCAGTTACAGCAAAACCCCTAGTGCTTTGGAATGTGATGTCGCCCCTAGATTCAGGGAAGGACAGATGCTGGAAACTGGTTAGCACATTGCCTGGGTCTTTAGGGCCAGGGGTCCTAGGAGCTTCCTTAGAAGCAACCATTTATGAAACTGAAACTTTCAGAAGGATCCTTGATTCTGGAAATTAAAAGTCTCACACCTCTGTCCTAGGGTGAGCACCCCAGCGACTTCTGAGCTCCCGTGGAGCCTCGCTGCCACTGGAGGCTGGGCATGGGATGGATGGGGGGGTACCTGGAGCGTGGCCCAATCCAGGGGAAGAATGGGAGATTTAAAAATGCCTTGTAAGTGAGAAGAGGAAAAGAACTCAAGGGCTGCCTCTCAGTGACTGTTTCAGCTGATGGGGAAGGATCTGGGGGTCCTTTCCAGGAACCACAGTGTCTAATCAGTCCTAGCTTTGTCTCCATACTTCCCCCCAACACAAAATCACCTTTCAGGTTGGGAATAGGGTGGCAGGGGGAACGAAGCATGGCTCTGGCTTGTCAGCTTGTCTGTCCTCTGAGGCTCTAAGTGCTTGAGTTTAAAAGCTAAAAAACCCTTATCTCTGCTCCTGCTGGAACATCTCTTCCATGAGGCCGTGCACACTGCAGGGTCCTCCTTCCAGACAAGGAAGAGGTCTCAGGGGATAAGACAAGGAGGGAGAAACACCAATTACTGGCTCAAAACCACATCACACTACATTCGGAAGAGCTCACTTCAAGAAAAATAGGGACTATTTAGTGTGATAGTCTCAGTCGGAGCTGTTTCCAAGAGTGGCAAATGCATTTCACTATGTGAGCTAAGCTCATGGAATGAGGAGAAACTGTCCTAGTGGATTTTCCTCAAATCCTTGGAGTACATGTGGACTTTTTCTTGCTGTAGCAAAGCTTAATTTTGTACCCAAGTGATCATGGAATATTGGATCTCTACGATACTCAGGGATGACCTGTGCTGGACATTCTCTGTCCCCCCAGGTCTGTTCTCCCCATTTCTCTGCACTGTTCTGGGGCCTGGGAGGCTAGTCTCCTTGGGCCCTATCAATGGGCTCCTCTGCCCTCTGGCTTCTGTTTAGACTTGGCCAATAGGAGGCATCCACTTGACCATCATTTGGTGGTTTCCCTAAGCTGGTCCATGCCTCGTAATGCCCCCCTTCACGATAGCTCCCATTTGAGTATGTGATCTCTTTCCTGCCGGCACTTTGAACTGATAATCATCTAATCCAATATGACCGTTTTATAGATGAGGAAACTGAGACACTGAGAGAGCCACTGGCTTTTCCAGTGGTATCCCTTTCCCCCTTTCCCAGCCATGGATGCTTGAGTAGTCACAGACTGAACCCCTGTGACTTGGGAATGCCTATCTGGGCGTCGGGGACCCCCTGGCATGAGAGTCTGCTCTGCTCTAATGTGATGATATACTTCAAAGGAACTTCCATTTATTTGAAACATGGATCCTTACAATAGTATTTTAAGTGGTATATACATATTATGGGATATTTTTTAGCTTTAGAAAAGGTAATCCTGTCACATGCAATGACGTGCTTGAACCTTGAGGATGTTACGCTAAGTGAAATAGGCCAGAACTGCACGATGCCACTGGCACGAGGTGCCAAAGCAGTCAGACTCGCAGAAGCAGAGAATGGTTGTGGGCGGGGGGCGGGGGGCAGGGTGAGGAGTTGGCAGGGAAGGGAGTTGCTATTCAATGGGTATAAAGTTTCAGGTTTGCAAGGTGAAATCGGACCTAGAGACCTGCCGTACAACATTGTACCAGCAGTTAACAACACTCTGTTATACAGCTAAACATTTGTTAAGAAGACAGATCTTGTGTTATTTTTTAACCACATAAAAAGAAGCCAAACGTATTTAATAGGTAAAAAAAAGTAGCCAGGCGTCTCCTCTGGGAGGCCTCCATTCACGGGGGCATGGCCAGGCTAGCGGAAAGTCGGGAAATGCCTTCTTCCTCCAGGGCGGAAGCACCTGGTGCCAGGGTTTGGCCAGGGGAGTGTGAGCCGAACTCACCCCCGCCCTTCCCTCAGCCCAGCGCCCTGTCCACCCACCTGCCCACTCCATTGCGTGAGGAGCCAGAATTTCTGATCATGCCTCTGACCATGTGTGAGTGAATGAGTGTGTGTGTGTGTGTGTGGGAGAGAGAGGAGAATGAATTTGCATTCTTCTTTTATTAATTTTTCTAAGCTCTCTGAAGAGTCTTTATTGAGCTCTCATAATTTATTGATTATAAAATTGATTATAAAACGTTTTATTTTTATCACATTTAATTAAATTAATTTATTTTTTGCTTTAACTTCTTTTTAATAGCAGCACCTGCAAGTAACATTCAGGCAAATACAATATTGGAAATATTATATATCAAATCTTAGAGTTGACATGAGATTAGAAAAACTGGGTTAATTAAGATAGTACAATTCTTGATATCTGGTTGGTAGTAATTATAATTATAGCAATTGTTCATATTTGTAAAATACTATAAGCTCATTTCTCAAATGTCTGTCACATTCATTATCTCATTTTTTTTGTCAATGACATTTTGAGACAAACGTTCGCCTATCACCATCATCCTTATTTTCACCCCATTTCAGACACGTGGATACTGCAGTTCAGAGCGGCAGAGTGAACGTTCCAAGGTCACCTGGCTGCTAAGTAGCAGACCTGGGAGTAGGGTTCCAACTTCTTATGAAGCTATTTAAAACCAGTAAACATTCCATGCATTTATTGTCACAAATTAAAATACCAAAAAAATCTTTGAAGAGAAATAAAAGATGCTATTTAGACTTTGATAACCCACCTGATGGGCTAGTAGTCCTTCCTGAAACACTAGAGGCAGAAGTGGAGAGCACAGAGTTCTCAGTCTGAGGACCTGGGTATAAGTTTCAACTCTGTTATTTAACTAGATTTGGGATCTTTGAACTGCTTAGTCACCTCATTTTTTAAAAAAGGAAACAAATGTGTTTTAGGATTACAAGGAAGAGAATGAATGATCATTTGTTGAGCAAAAATTGTAGTCAGGCATTATCCTAGGAGATTTATATCTAATATTTCACTAGATAAGTTATCTTATGAAGGTTCTTTAGATATTGTAAAGTACAATAAAAACATCATTTGTCTATCTATCACCTACTCATTCATTCATTCATTCATTCAGTTGTGAATGAAAAATTTCTTGTTCTGTTACCATTTCTTCAAGGCATTGCCTAAATAAGTCTACTAGAGCTCTTTCAATAAGTATAAAATAAAAAATCTACATCTTAGTGTTTTATGACAGTTTAATTTGTAGCCATTTGTTCTTTTTTATTGTTATATAAAAGAGCATTGTTTCTGAAAATAAGTGAATCCTGACAATCAATGAAATATGGTAGCAAAGTAGGAAGCCTATTATGTTATTAGCATGAATCAAAAGATGAGTTGGAAAGCTAAGGACTGAAGAATGAGTTTACTAATTTTTTTACTCAATAAATATTTATTAGGCATCTACTGTGAGCACAGTGCTGGGGTAGGCACGAGGATACATCTGTGGACCAAACAGACCTGATTCCTGGGCTCACAGGGAAGACAAGATACATTGCATGCATAACGCAACAGAAGAAGTTATGCAGGCTTCTTTGGAAGTGTAAATAGGGCAGTTTAGATGGTCAAGGGAGCAGGCAGCCCCACTGAGGAAGTGACACTTAGGAGGAAAGGACAAGCAGTAGTTGGTCAGGTGGAGGTGAGTAGGAAAGGTGAAGGCAGTGCTGGCAGAAGGAGCAGCGCATAGGAAAGCTGTGAGGTGGCAAGGAGCGATGAGCTGAAGGAAGTCCAGGGTAGCTGGAGCGCAGGCAATGGTGCAGAGAGGAGATGCCAGCGTGGAGAAGCTGGTGGGCATCTGGTGATTGAAGGCCTTAAAAATCATGGCAAGGCGGGGCCTTTCTCCCAAGGGTAAGAGGAAGTTGTGGAAGAGGTTTCAGGAGGGGTGTGGTGGGTCATGCTCATATCCTGGAATTATCACTCTGGCCACTAGGCTGTAGATCAAGGGCAGAAAAACGGAGCATGGCAGGAGTCATTCCTCCTTGATTAGAAGGGTGGAAGCTGGAGTGGCAGAATGTATCAAATGATGCAAGGGAATCCTGGAGCAAGTAATAGTCCCCATCTCTGATTGCATTCCTCTGATACGGTATCTTCAGTTCCTAATTACCTACAACAATAACTTTATTTATTTTTAACAGAGTGACTTCTTCTGACCTGAGGCTGCAGGTGCTTTGAGAGCTCTACTACCAGGTAAATACAGAAAGTGTTTTCTTCAGTTTATACACACTGCTTTTCTCCCAAGACTTTATAAGACCTAAATCCAACATCTTATTTAACCCTTGCAATAGCCCTAGGAGTTATGCACTATTTTATTTCTATCTTATACATGAAGAGATTGACACACAGAGAGGTTAGGCAACTTGATCAACATGCACGAAGACGTTCATCACAGCATAAATTATAATAGCCAAACAAAACATGCCTTGTTCAATTTGGGACCTTCATGCTTGTGTTCTAAGCAGGTAGACAGAGAAGGGCACAAGGTCATGTCTCCCACCTGAGTCCGTCCAGGTAAAGAGTTGCCCTGGTTGCCTGGGGCCAGTGAATTCTGCCTTAATCTGGTCACCATGAGCTGCAGAGGAGGCTGGGAAATGTATCTTAGAGTTGAATATGTTGCTGCTGCAAAAGAAATAAGGGCTGCATTTGCTCCGGATGGAGAACTAAATGTGAGTATCAGACAAACAGGGAGCTAAATATCAGCTTTCTTCCCAGAGATGCTGAATTAGAGAATGAGCTCAAATTATGGACAGGATCAGCTATAATCAGCCCTTCTATTACATTTATTGCTGAAATCTTTCATGGAAAAGAAAAATACATGCTGCTGTGGCCAGAAATAGAGAGAAGGGAGTTTCCCAGACCTGCCTCCATGTACTTTCCCTTACCTAGTCTAAACAGTTCATGAAGTTACTCCCTCGAGGAGGAGTGAAGAGGTGTAGGGAAGGGTAGGCGTCACCTTCCAATAGTTTTAAGAAGATAAACTGTTTTGTGTTATGTGCGTAGGAAGGAACGTACACGCACACACGCAATCTCATTATATATTATTACATATTGTGACAATTGTGTTATGTTTGTTTCTTTGTATATTTTTCCCAATTCCTGCTGCTGGTGACCTAGAGGTAATCTGATCTGGGAACTGGGATGGGAAAATGCATGTGTTGAAGCTGTGAAGCCCTCCCAAGGAAACAGAGATGGCCTGCGTGTAGATTTTAAAGAGTGGGCAGAATTGTTCCAGGCAGAGAAGAAGAGTGATTCAGGGTGAATAAACAGCATGGGCTGCAGGCAGTAGACTTACTTCCAGCTGCTTCGGAAGCTTGTTGCAGGATTCTTCACAGGATCCCCTTACATTTCTACAAACAAACAAAGAAGCAAACAAACAAAAACAAGCAAACTGCTGCAGCTCGCCTCACCTGAAGGGGGTTTGGTGCCCTTGCTGTGCAGCAGGCCCTGGCACTCTTCTCAGCTTCTCATTCTTGACTCCTGCTCTCACAGTGATTTGGAAACCAGTAACAACCAGCCCTGCTCCCTACCCAAGGCTCAGCTCAGAACTGTGAGTTGACAGCTAATTGTCGCCACTGATTGCTTTGCTGACAGTGCTTTGTGGCTATTTTGGTTTTTCTTGAGTGTTTCTTAATTAGAGGAAATGACAACGTGTGCTGTCCAATCAGCCTCTTGTCAGACATTATTACATTTGCAGGAGAATCAGGCAGCATTTGGGCTTGTGCCTGCCACGCTGGTATGAGGATCGCAGTGTGAGGTGTTGCCCCCACTCGTCTCTGAGACAGGTCTGCCACTGGCGTGAAGAAGAGCATTCATTCCACATTCCCCGTGTGGGTTCCAATACCTAGGACTCTGCCCCAGCCCCTGGTCTGGCAGCAGTGTGACCTTGAAAGTATACTCCTCCCAGTGGCCGTTGCCCTGGCAGGATGCTTTCTTCTCTTTGAAATGAGATGTTTCCGGATTCCTTTGATATTTGCCTTTGCAGCTAACATGGCTCCTATTGGTGATGTTGTAGAGGTGGTTTGCCCTACGGTATATTAAGTGAGATCTTACTACATTGCTTGAATTAACAGGAAGAATGACCTTAAGTTATAAAATATTCTGAATTAAAAAATAACTCTGAAGAGCTTTACAACTCTGAAGGTCACAGAGTAACTTCCACCAGCTATTTTTTGAAGGGGCACATCTTCCTAAGGCTCCTTTATTGAATGCTTGATTTAGAATAGCTATGATACTATGTGTGAAAGTTTCAAATATCAATTTGTCAAATGAGTATCGACCCTTCTTTTCCAATTTCTCATTTGTTGGTATTAATTCATTGCTAAAAGAATCTATTGAGCCTGCTGGTGTGCCTTCAGACTGAACAAAGCACCATCCCTGTCCTGAAGGAACTCACATAGGAACTGGAAAATCAGCCTTCTCCAATGGTCCTTGCTTCATGGATTCCTCCAAGACATGTATGTGATTATGTGGTTTTTCTCCAGGAGTGTTGTTCCATGCTGGAGCAGAGAGCACATAATACAGAATTATCTAGGGCTGGAAAGACAAGAGGACAAAGATATTGGGGGTTTTATGAAGAGACCATAAGTGTGTCAGGTTGGGTACAGAAGGAAGGGAGGCCAAAGTGTGTGTTCTGTGTGTGTGTGAGTGTGTGTGTGTGTGTAGGCCAAAAGACAGGAGATCTCCATGAGGTAAATGAAGAAATGGAGAGTGGGTAAGCAGTAAGAGATATAGAACATAATGCTCCCTAACTTTGCCTGCATGTCTGTCTTGTCGTCTCAACCAAAGAGTGAAATAGGGCCAGACATGACATTTCCTTCGTGTCCTCTTCAGCTGACAGCACATGCTCCTAAACATTGCCTGAAGAAATCAGCTTAGCTGTGGACTTTGTGAAGATCATTGGGATCAATGATCAATTTTTTTCAGGTACATAGAACGAATTGAGGTGTTCATAGGTGCATGTATATGATGAGCTCCAAAGTGATCCCGATACAGTCTGCTGGTGGTGTAAACGTGTGTGCTTGCACACTCACCCACACACACGCTGTGGTGAAAAGGGAGTCTCTACCATTTGATGTTTGTTCATTAGTTTCAGGTGAAGGGAAGTTACCATCTCAGGGAGCTAGTCTGGGGAGACTTCTGAGAGCCCTACATTCTAGGTGTGGTTTTGCCTTACCAGTAAAGCCAGAAATACTGTTCTTTTCCAGACACAAATAGTTCTCCTTCCACTCTTCATGATTTTTCAGGCTAAGTGCATTTGAAGGCCCAAATGAGCGACTTAAACTTCTTTCTGATTCTCCTACTGTTCCTCTGCTCCACATTAAACTTTTTCTCATGTTTATACTTGGCTAAAAAAAATCTTCATAAAAGGCTTCTACAATCAAAGTCCCAGCAAAAACCAGAGAATAAAATTTTAATTTTGGTTTAAAATCTAAAATTTCATGATATCATTTCTATATGTTCTTGTATATTTTATAATTAACTTGCTGCTGCCTGGGCACCACACTCACTGTGATTTCTTTGCAATGTGTCTTATATTCTCTTGGTCACCCACGTGCTGGCCCAGGGCTAGGACACAGTAGAGGCTTAAAAGTGTATGTGCTCCTGAAGTGAATGTGCTATGTGTTCCATTAAAACATACCAGCAGTCTCTCTAATGCATATTTTCTTAGGTGCCATCTTAAAGGTCCTTAAGCTGTGCTCCAGACACAACAGACTTGACCAGAATCATGCGGTTGCCATGGCATCCAAAGAGAGCCCTTAGAAGCTCATCAACTTCTCCAGACAGAAAGATGGTAAACTGCTCTGATAAAACATTTTCTACCTTAGAAGCTGAGAATAGACACTACATTTATCTGAAAACAGCAAATGTGATTTCCAACACTTCTCTCAATCATTATCTTTTGTAGGATATTTGCTGAAAACTGCTCATGGGTTATATGCTCTAGCACTGACTTGCAGCAGCTTTCTTTTCATCTCTGATCTGGAAGCTTCTTTTTGAATAAAATAGAAATGTGAATGGCTCTAGCTAAGAAATTGCTTTGAATTTCACGGAAGAGTTGAAGTAGCTGCTCTTCTGTATTCAGAGAGTGTGAAGCAAAAAATGAGCCTACCATGAATAAAATGGCAGGCCTTCTTTCTTCTTACGCGGCTTCTCCCCAAACAGTTCTTTGATGTTAATCTAATTCTCATCAATCACCAACTCCAAAGCAACAGAGCTTAGATCTTTGAAAGGATTGCTTTTTATAAAGTCTTACTGTCTGAAATTTCTGCCTAATGGCAAGGCCACTGAACCACTAACTTTTCGCTTTAGAGTTAGTAGGTAGGGACTATTTAAGTCATTAATTTCTATAGCTTGACATGTATAACACTTTGCAGTATTCAAAGCACTTTTGCGTCCATTATTGTTACAGCTGCCTTAAGGCAGAGAGACAAGTTTTATTTTTTTATCTGCCCCAAACCTTTTTTTTTTTTTTTGAATGAGGGTATTGAGGGTCAGAAAGATGATGTGTCCTGCCCTGGTTTGGGTGGCTCTGTGGATTGAGTGCTGGTCTGTGAACTAAAAGGTTGCCTGTTCGATTCCCAGTCAGAGCACCTGCCTGGGTTGAGGGCCGCGTCCCCAGCTGGGGGTGTGTGAGAGGCAACTGGTGGGTATATCTCTCTCACATCAATGTTTCCTCCCTCTCTTTTCCCCTCCCTTCTTCTCTCTAAGAATGAAGAAATAAAATATTAAAAAAAAAATTATGCCTCCTTTAAAATCAGTTCTTACCAGGAGGTGGGCCTGGAATTAGAACCTACTCTTCCAGTTCCTAACTGAGACTCAAGTTGTTCTGTCAGGAGAAGCAAAGTGTTGAGGATGGTAAGGGAGAATCTATAGATTGTTTGGTAATTAGCAGCTTAATCATCTGTCTACTGATTTGAGTTTAAGCTCCCAAAAGGTGGAGATTATTTTATTCAGTATTATAGCCCCAGTGCCTATAATATTGCCTGGCACATAGTAGGTGCTCAATTAACATTTTTAAAAATAAGCCAAGTAATTACTAATGCCAACACATCTGCCTACCCTCTTCTTACACATTCCGATGGCATAAAAAATGTTGACTCTAAGAATTATATCTAAAATAGACAGACAAAGATAGGGGCCTCATGGGGAGTGCAGGTTGTCATCCACCCAAGTAATGGGAGAACACTGAACTGAGCTGTGGAGAAATACAGAAGAGGTGGGAACTAGAGAGAGATCCTGCCTTCTGGGAGCTTAACTTTGATTTAGACAGACAGACTACCTCACCACAGAAAAGATGGGGAAAATCACTGTCCAACAGTCTGCTTGGTTGGCCTTGCCCCCTTGGAAATTCAAAGTCAAGGGGAAGAAAAAGGACACGTGGTGCCGAAAGCCTTGGTTTCAGAGGGGGAGTAAGTGGGAGAACTCCACTGTCACTTCTTTGTTTGGTTCTGTAATTACCTGTACCTCTTCAAGTGTTTTTATGCAAGAAACTAAATATACCTACTGGTCTAGTGGAGAGATGAATCATTCTAATTAACTGGAATAGAAGGTGGACTTTGACAAAGCTTCAATTGGCTTGGTTCTTTTAATAGTCAAGTGATTATGGTGTAAGTTAGCATCAGTAAACAATTGTTTTCATCCTTATCTCACCCAGAACTAATAGCTTCCATGTCCTTAAGGGTCTTTTCAACATTTAATTCTCAAACCACCTGCTTAAGTATCTATCTATGGATGAAACTCTGATTTGGGGGCATCTTATGCAGGATCTGGGAACCTGCTTTTATTTTTTTAAATAAACATTTTATTTTGGCATAATTTTATATTTATAGAAAACTTGCAGAGATAGTTCTAATATTCTCTTCACCCAGCTTCCCCTAATGTTAACTTCTTTTATAACCAGAATGAAGTTGTCAAAATTAGTATATTAATATCAGTACAATATTACTAAGCAACAGGCTTTATTTAAATTTCACAAGTTTTTGCATTAACGTCCTTTTCCTGTTCAATCCAGGATATCACATTACATCTTGTCGTCGTGTTTTCTTAGTCTCCTTAGATTCCAGATAGTTTCTTAGTCTTTCCTTGAATCTCCCCAGGTGGTTCTCAGACACTCGAATTCTATACCCATTGTTCTTCCAAAGCCAGGGACAGACCCTGGGCATGACTGCCAAAGGCTAAGAAGCATGTGCTGGGGGGACCTCCCCATGCCTGAGCAGTGCCTTATGTTTTTCATCCCATGCCCTGCTCCTATCAGTGAGGGACCCAGCAGGAAACAGAAGGCATGGCCTAGAGGAGTCCAGAGAGAATTTAGAAAAAGTACTATTTACAGAGGTGTAGGCAGGGTGAAAGGAACAAATGAGGGATATTAAGGCCACTAGGAACTTTCAGCAGTGAAAAGCTTTTACTGTCTTTGGGATGTGACGAGAAGGCCACGACTCAGCCAGGTGGCTCAGTAGTCAGGGATCGGTAGTTGGAGATCCAGCCATTGCCCGAACTTCAGGACTGCAGAAGACATGGAGGAAAGCGGTCTTGAGTCTTGATCTCCTC